TGTAAAACAACCCCCTTTGTTTTACAGGAAAAATGTTCGCAAACTTTTTTTGCTAGGCCCCCCTGCCTAGCAAAAAAAGTTTGGGAACCACTGGTCTAATTACTGGATTTAGTACAGTAATGTGCTCCATCATTGCCTTACCGAAATGCTGCTCCAGCTAATTTTTCCTGCTTAGTAAATCCTGCCAAGAGTCTTGTCATTAGCTGCATCACAATAAATAAATAATAAATCAGCAGAAAAAATCTACTCACTGGCCACCAAAGAGCTGCATACCCAGCAGAGCAAAGACCACGATGAAGAGGAAGAGCAGAAACAGCAGGCTAATAATGGACTTCATGGAGTTGAGTAGGGATACCACAAGGTTCCTTAATGAGTTCCAGTACCTACACAAAGACACACCAGTATGAATCCATTGTGTAATCCGGTTTTACAGAACACAGACAAACATTTCCATTTACTCACTTGGTGACTTTGAAGATCCGGAGCAGCCTCAGTGCTCGCAGGACACTGATTCCAAATGAAGCCCCGGGCTTCATGGCTGCCCAGACCACCTCAAAAATACTGCCAATGATCACCTGTGAACACAGTTTGATAAATCAAAACCGTCTGAATTTCTTTCTTCAATAATTTGCTACATTTCTTTTCTATAGAACTAGTTCTGAATCAGTTTCCCTAGTTTCCCTATAAATGTTCTCAAAATGCACAACAAATTGACGAAACAGTCAACTGAAGTGGGCAACTCACCCCGAAGTCAAAACAGTTGAAAGAGGAGTGAAAGTAGTTCTGGGGTCCAAGACCATACATTTTCATGGACATCTCCACCAGGAACAGGCCCAAAAATACAAACTCCGCAAGGTCTGTCCAGAAGAAATACATATAGCTGATTCTATAGCAGCTATGCCAACAGTGAATAAGACACAGAAAGAGACTATTTGTGTATTACAAAACGCTGTTTGAGTCATGTGTGTTTACACGTGTTGCTGCAGCACAGAACTACAGGAATTAGAGTACTAGTAAAAAAAAAAAAAAAGAGCAGATACAGGCAACGGCAATTTTGTATGCAAGAAAGATGATCTCACCAGGATCATAATAAAGCTGGTACTATAATTCTAATGGAATGCTTCAAGTGAATGGAAGGATGATGAGCAACATGATCTTTAAAGCCTCAAACCTCCACCAGCATCCAAATATGGCACCAACAATCTTAGTTGCAGCTGGCTGTAATATGTTATTTTTGGACATTAACATTATAAGTCAACTACACAAATGTAAGAAAAAAGTCAAAATATAGTTGTACATTTGAAAATTTAATAAATATTTCTTCATTTTTTTATGCACTTCATTTGGAGTGCTTAATGTTAGGGTGAATTAAATTATTTTCATCCCTTTTCCTTTTACATAAAACAAGATGACATAGCCTAAAACATAATGTAACAGAATGGCACATTTTGAGAAGAAACAGCAGAGTGACCTAGTGTTGTTAGTTATGCAGCAATCTTGAAATTTGCTCATGCTTTTTGCCCTCTATACAGGGAGTGCAGAATTATTAGGCAAGTTGTATTTTTGAGGAATAATCTTATTATTTGTTCTGGTGGGCCCATCCATCTGGCCCATCAAGACTCACTCTCATTTCATCAGTCCATAAAACCTTAGAAAAATCAGTCTTGAGATATTTCTTGGCCCAGTCTTGACGTTTCAGCTTGTGTGTCTTGTTCAGTGGTGGTCGTCTTTCAGCCTTTCTTACCTTGGCCATGTCTCTGAGTATTGCACACCTTGTGCTTTTGGGCACTCCAGTGATGTTGCAGCTCTGAAATATGGCCAAACTGGTGGCAAGTGGCATCTTGGCAGCTGCACGCTTGACTTTTCTCAGTTCATGGGCAGTTATTTTGCGCCTTGGTTTTTCCACACGCTTCTTGTGACCCTGTTGACTATTTTGAATGAAACGCTTGATTGTTCAATGATCACGCTTCAGAAGCTTTGCAATTTTGAGACTGCTGCATCCCTCTGCAAGATATCTCACTATTTTTGACTTTTCTG